GCTTAAGATACTCGCCCTAAGGACTCCCCTGGAGTCTGTCCTGCCAGTGGGTCCTTGGGCCCCCGACCCTCAGGCTGTTTTTTCTTGGGACTTTTGGTTTATTGTCAAGTACATAGCTGGACACCCCTGTTTTATACCTTAGACACCGCCCCCAGGTTTATATCTCATGACCCCTGTTACATACTTTTGATCCCTCTTGACGTGTAATTTGATACCTCTCCTCACTTTGTACACGGGACTCCCGCAGCTTCAACCCCACCTGTGACCCTTTTGATACTTCATACCTTTACCTTTCTCTCTGCTTGCCTCTGATCTCTGTGGCCACATACCTGTCTGAGATCTTGATTCCCCGAATGCATCTCCCTGTACCTTCTAGACTGTGAGCCCGGAAAGCTGGGTGGACAGAACCCTGGGCCTCCCTGCCCCGCTCCGCTCCCCCCAGGCCCCGTGCTAGGTACTGGATATAGAATCCAAGGGAGAGGTGACATCTGGGGGTAGGGAGGGGTCTGGCCTTCTGGCTCACAGTCTAATGCCCTCCCCACCACCTCCCAGATTTTTGTGTTGCTCTTTGCATGCATTTTCTGTGTGTGATTGTGCATCTTGAGTTGTGGTTTTCTTACCGTTTGTTTTTTTTTTTCTTTTCTTTTCTCCATTTTGTTTTTTCTCTTTTCTTTATTGCGTCCGTCCGTCCTTCTCTACATCCTCCCACCCCTCCTGACCCACCCCCTCCCCTGCCCCGCCGGTAGCCACGCCCCCCACCCCTCTCCTCCCTGGGGGGCCCCCTGCCCTCTCCATTGCCTAACGGACCCCCATCCCCCCGCTCCGGCCTCGACCCCTTGGCCATACTGAGTGAGATCAGTAAGTCAGTCAAACCGCGGCTAGCATCCTTCCGCAGCCTTCGAGGCAGCCGTGGGGTAAGTGAGGCCTCCGGGGGAGGAGGGGGCGGCCCCAGCCTGCCCAGCGGCTGGGTGGCGGGACCCTGGGCTCGCTTCCTGCCGCCGGCTGGGCCCCCTCCTCCGGTTTCTGGACCCAGACCTGCTTTGCTCTGTGCATGGCCTTGCCCCCCAAGAACCTTGGGTGGGGAGGAAGGTGGACTTGGTATGTCTTTGCAGTGTCTTAGAGCCCGGAAGCCGAGAATCCCTGATCCCAAACTCAGTCTTCTTCCCACCTTGCAGACAGTGGTGACGGAGGATTTCAGCCACTTGCCCCCAGAGCAGCAGAGAAAACGACTTCAGCAGCAGCTGGAAGAACGGAATCGTGAGCTGCAGAAGGAGGTCGACCAGAGGTAAGATTGGGGGCAGGCAGGCAAGGAACAAAAATGAAGGGATAAATGAACTATACTGAAATGGTACTCTGAGCTCTCCCGAACAAGCCCCAGGCACCGGTGGTTTTACAGGTGATTCCTACCATACTTAGAAGGAAACAGTTACTTCCCCTCTTACACAAGTCATTGCAGCAAACAGAAAAAGTGAAAGCTGCCAGCTCACTTAGGAGGCTTGGTGGAATCAATTCCCATATCTGTTAGCGAGAATTCGAGAACTTCAAATTCTGGGCTCATTTTACTTCACTTAGGATCTTGGATGCAGATTCCCAGCCAGACGAATCCGGTGATGTATTTCAAAAATAATGTTCCGTGTGATGGGGATGGTTGCTCAACAGTGTGGCTGTACTTGATAGCATGGAACTGTACACCTAGATACGGTTCAAGTGGGAACTTTCGTGTTAATGTGTATTTTACCATGATAAAAACATAACTTTTTTAAAGACAAGTCATGATCGATTGGGTGTTATCCCAGTAATGCAAAGATGGTTCAATATAAAAGCATCTATTAGTCTCATTTACTACCATAATTGGCTAAAAGAGAAAAAAAAAAAACTCACCCATGGTTATCTGCTTAATAACTCAAACACTTAAAATATTAACAATAAAAAATCTGCCAGATTGAAAAAAAGAAAATCTGTACTCACTTCTTCCAAGCAACAAGAGCCTCTTCCCACTCCTTAAATAATAGGAATGACGTTTGCCACTTGGGGACAGGCAGCCCAGTTCTCTCTTGTCGTTTGCATAGAACCTCTTGTACAAAACTTTTATTGTACAGAGCCTTTATTGGTGTAAAGTTCCATTCGGAACCTTGTAGTTCCTGAGTCTTTATTTTTATTTATTTATTTATTTTAAAGATTTTGTTTATCTGAGAGAGAGAGAGAGCACAACGTGTGGAGGGGCAGAGGGGGAGGGAGAAGCAGGCTCCCTGCTGAGCCCCTGACATGGGACTCCATCCCAGGACCCCGGGATCATGACCTGAGCCGAAGGCAGATGCTTAATTGACTGAGCCACCCAGGCGCCCCGAGTCTTTATGATGTAGGGGTGAAGGGAGCATGCTTTGGAGTCAGGACAGGTTGGCGTTGAATTTTCGCTATCCCACCTCTCTGCTTGTTTCCCCATGGCCTGGATGTGGTATTAGGACTGGAAAGAAGTTGAACCCAGGTTTGACATATTCCAAGGTCTATGCTTGTTACTATTACTGCCTATATATATATAGTCTTGGAGGAGACAGGGACCAGGGACTAACGATAATAACACCGAGCATTTATAGAGTGCTTACTGTGTGCTATACACTATTTCAAATCCTTTACATAGAGTCACCGGCATTCCCAAGTTCTCCTGAGACTGTGAGCCAGGGCAGAATCCTGATTGTCTTGTGTAGGGCTATATTCTGATGGCTGGAACAGTGACTGGTATGCAGTAGGTAGTCAGTGTGTATCTGAATAAATAAAGGCACCATTCTAACCTTTGCAGCCACTTAATGAGATATATGCATCGTTATCCCCATTTGCCAGATTTGCGTACTGAGAGGTCCGGTAACTTGACCCACACTCACAGACAAGGAAATGCCCAGACTGGGATTCGAACCCAGGCAGTGAAGCACCAGCCATGTGTGATTTAACCACTGCCTTATCTTGCTATTGGCTCCTTGAAGCCAAGCATATTTTTTTTTTTTTTTTTTTGCTCGTTAAGCCATATGGGACTGTTCTTTCTGATCTGTCTGTGTCATCCTAGAGAAGCCCTGAAGAAAATGAAGGATGTGTATGAGAAGACGCCCCAGATGGGGGACCCTGCCAGCTTGGAGCCCCGGATCACGGAAACCCTGAACAACATCGAACGGCTGAAATTGGAAGTGCAGAAGTATGAGGTCAGGGAAGACCCTGGGGAGGGGTGGGGGCCAGCGGGCCTAGCTGAGTCACTTCCTTGGGGGGGGGTGGACAGGGACAGGGAGGTGTTCGGTGGGGGTGGTGCCCCAGCTGTTTCTCATCACAGCCTTGGGTGTGCATGGGTGATCTCAGGGAACCTCCAGGCCCAGGACGGGCTGACCCCGGAGCCCTGCCCTGGAATTGACTGTGACTCCCTCCTCTCAGGCTTGGCTGGCGGAAGCCGAGAGCCGGGTCCTGAGCAACCGGGGGGACAGCCTGGGCCGCCACACCCGGCCTCCAGAGCCCCCAGCCAGCGCCCCACCAGACAGCAGCAGCAGCACCGACAGCCGACCGCAGGATGACAAGGAGAGGTGAGTGTGGAGGCCAGAGTGGGTCTGGCCCCAGGGCCTGGGAGGCCTGTCCTGACCTGCTTTGCTCTCTCCAACCAGCTCTGAAGAGCCCCTCTCCGAGGAGGGTCAGGATGCCCCCATCTACACGGAGTTTGATGAGGATTTTGAGGAGCCGGCATCCCCCATAGGTCACTGTGTGGCCATATACCACTTTGAAGGTGAGGACAGCTTGTGTGTCCCATCAGCTGCTTAGGGGGTGGGCGGTGTTTTTGGCTAGATTTGTGTTTACCTGCACCTGAAGCGGATCTGAGCCCACTGCCCCTCCCACGACAGGGTCCAGCGAGGGCACCATCTCCATGGCCGAGGGTGAAGACCTCAGTCTCATGGAGGAGGACAAAGGCGATGGCTGGACCCGGGTCAGGCGGAAACAGGGAGGTGAGGGCTATGTGCCCACCTCCTACCTCCGTGTCACGCTCAGCTGAACCCTGCCACAGGCGGGAAGAAGGGGGCTGTTGGCTGCTGCTTCTGGGCCACGGGGGGCCCCAGGACCTACGCACTTTATTTCTGCCCCCGTGGCTTCAGCTGAGACCTGTGTAACCTGCTGCCCCCCGCCCCCCAACCCACTCCTCATCCCAGACGGACTCGCTGTGCCTTCTACCATTGATGTACATACTCGTGTTTCAAATCTTTTCTTCCTGCCGCTGGGCTAGGGCCATTTTGTTTTATAAAAAAAAATTCTATAAAGCTTTTGGCGTCTGTGCCTTATTGGTAGATTTACATACTGGGGCTGGATATGCAAATGCCAGCCTCCTTCCTGGCCACGGAGAGAACGAAGGGGAGGTAAACTCGGGCACACCTTGGACAAAACTTCCCTGGAGTTGGGTGCTTGTCTGTGACTTCAGTATGGGAAGAAAAGCACCAAACATCCTTTCTGTGTTTACCACAGCTTTACTGAGAAAAGGTAATGTTTAGCACCTGCTGTGTACCAGGCATTCTCCACCCATGATATCTGAACACAGCTTTAATCCCCCATGAAAACCCCTAGAAAGTACACGGCCTCCCTTTTATGTTGAAGGCAAGCACAGAGAGGTTGAGCCATTTGCTAGAAGTCACACAGCTCTTAAAAAAGCATTTGAACTCTGGCTTCTGAGTAAGAGATCTGCAAGTTCTCTTGCCATTAAAAGCCTCATGTTGCCCATTTGTCAGATAGGTGTGTGGGGGTGGGAGGTGGGATAGCGCCTCCAGACACCTGGATTTTCTAGCGTGAGGGAGGAGGCTGTCCCTCACCCTAGGATCCACGTACACTTTTAGGGATACAGTATGAGTTTTTGCAAATCTGTGAGGCAGAATGTGGGTTCCCACTGCGATTGGCTATGTGAACAGCTTGGGGCAACTTCCTTGGTGTCTGCCGGGGTTCCCCAAAGCCTGGGTGTCCCAGTGTGAAGAAGGGGGTCTGTGCTTTCAAACATCCGGCTCAAGGCGCTGCGAAAGGACACTGAGGACGCGCTGGAACTTCTCGAGACGTGTGGCTTGCGGCGCCCCCACGCCTCGGCTTCCCCAGAGGAGCCTCTGCACGAAGCCTGTGGTCAGGGCCTCCCTCAGCTGCGGGTTTGGCCGGAATCCTGGGGGGCGGGGCCAGGCGGGCTGGGGGCGGGGTCCAGGCCCCTGCCTCGCCCCACCCTGCACCTGCCTTCTCCTCTCAGAACTTTGTCCCAGCAGGGACTGTGGAGGGACTCTGCCCAGAAGCTCTGCACAACTGGGCGGGGTTCACGGGGAGGGGGCGCTCTGAGTCTCCGCAGGACTGGGGGTGGGGCGGCCAAGGAGCTCGGCGGAAGCATACTGTGCCAGGGTGCATGGGGGCAGTCTGTTCAGTGCGTGATGCTGGGGGGGCGGGGAGGGGCTGTGCCTGGGGATGAAGCCACTTGAGGGGCAAGATTTGGAGTCTGGGCCGCCCAGTGCGACACATTTCGGGGGAGACTGAGCCATGTTGGAGAGAGAGGAGTGCTTAGGTCACCAGCGAAAGCGGAATAAGCCAGGTTGGGGATTCTGGAGGCTGGGCTGTCCCTGGACGGGAGGAAGGTTTGGCTCTGAACGCAGCGGGGGCGCTGTTTTACCAGGTTGAAGAACTGACTCATCTTGGACAGAGCTAGGCCTTGTTGGAGGGGACCGAGATCCTCTGGGGGCAGGGCCGGTTCAGGTGCGAGCGGGGGTGGGGGGGAGTGCGGGCGGGGAGTGGGAATCTGTGGACGTGGCTCTGGGGCCGGGGGCCAACCCTTTTGGGGTGGAGAGCACTATTCCCTGTCAACACTGTTGGCAGCGACCCGGACTTGGGGTGAGAACTCCCCGGAGGCCAGGCCGTCCCAGTTTGGGTGGGACTCTGGGAGGCGTGGCGGGAGGCTCTGGTCCCTGGCCTGGTGGGTTTTTGGGTACCCGGTTAGAGCATGCGGGGTGCTCGGGAAGTCGGGACCGTCTGGCAGCAGGGAGCAGAGGGGAGCACTCACCTCGTAGGCGCCGGGCCGCTGCCTCACGGAACTTGGGCGCGTCCCGGGCCATCTGACGCGCCCGGTGCAGGGTGCGCAGCAGCCGCTCGCAGCTCTCGTCCAGCGGCCCCGGGAGCTCCTCGCCCTCCAGTAGGCGCACGGCGGGGACCACGTGCGGCAGCGCCACCTCGCCCGGCTCGCAGGGTCCTGTGCGGGGAAGGGCTCTGAGTTAGGCTTGGGGCAGAAGATGGGGCCTAGGGTGAAGAGGTTGGGAGACTGGATCGAGGCGGACCCTAGGAGTGGAAGCCCAGAAACACTGGTTCCAGCCTAGCACAGAGCAGGACTGGGTCCCGGGCGAGGCCTAGGGCGGGGGCGGAGCCCAGGACAGAAACAGAGGCGGGGCCCAGGGTTTGGGCGCTCCCGGACGGAGCCGGACGCAAAGGGCGGGGCCTAGAGCGAAGAGGGTGGAGTCTATGGTGAAGGGACTTGACGTGCGGAGCCTAGGGCTGGATTCGGATTCTGGTTGGAGCGGGTGTGGAGCGCCAGGCGATGCCACTCACCGGCGCCCTCATCCAGTGCCCGCATCAGCGGCTTCAGCTCCTGCTCGAAGGCCAGCGCAGCCTCGGTGTGGCTCCTTCTGAGTTGGCGCCACGTGCGTTCCAGCCGGGACACCTGGGGGAGGAGTCTTGAACATGCTGCCTCTTCCCTCTTCCCCATCAGCAGCACTCAGGCTTTCTCCTTATTTCTGCTCCCCACGCACCTGGGGCATGAGCAGGGCGCCCATGACCGCGGCCAGTCCAGGCAGGTCCCCGGCCGCCCCTGGCCGCAGCGCCAATGCCAGTTCCACCAGGCCCCTTAGGGTGGCCGCACGCTCCTCCAGCGGCCCCGCGCAGCCCAGCACGGCCAGCGCCCCCGCCAGCGCCAGCGCCTCGTGTCTGTGGAGGTGGAGAGCAAGGGTCTGGGGGCAGTGGGAGGTTTGTAACTCCGAGGTGAGGGGCGTGGTGGGGGAGTAGCTTTGCCCATCTCACCTCCCCCCTGGGGGTCCTTGAATGGGGGGAGGTTTGAAGACCCTGGGGATTCCAGGTGGCTGGCTCACCTCTCCAGAAGTTCCAACCTCAAGCGATGCCCATGGGGAAGTGTGAGCAGCTCCAGGCCAGAGGCGACCCCCATGGCACCCCGCTGAGCCCTGGTCACTCCTAGGAGGCCTGTAGCCTGGGCAGGGGGGTTAGTGGGGAGGTCAAACGAGCAGAATGAGTATATGGGTGTGAGGTGCTGTTGGGCCTTGGCCCGGCTTCAGCCCCTGTCTGGGGAGGAGTGACCAGGTAGGTGACCCACCTGGCAGTCTACCAGTAATAGGTGCAGGGCCGTGCTCCCAGGATGGTGCTCCAGGAATAGGTCACGGAGAGTACTCAGGACTTTGGGCTCCAGGGGCCGATTCTGGGGGCCCAGGAGGCAGAAGGGGCTGTTAGGGGGCCAGAAAGAGACCTCGGCCTTTGGTCTTGCAAAACTTCTGTTCTCTTCCTCTTCTTCGTTGGCTTCCCACCATGGTGGGGCCTCTGTCTCTGGGCCGCTGTGGCCTGGGGGTGTTCCCTGGGCACTGGGCACTCGGGGCACCAGCTCACAGTACGTTGGGGGGCGTCCAGACGCATCATGCAGCAACAGTGAGGGTGTTCGAGGTGGTTTGGTGGGTGCCTTGGCATGAAGCTGCCCATCGGAGGCCCTGAGGCTGTCAGTAACACACCCCAGAGAAGCTGGGGTCTTCAGCAACATGGGGTCACTACCCACCCGAGGGAGGGCACATATGGGCACAGTGGAGTCTCCTAGGGATCAAACAAGAGGGAGTGAAGGGAGTACACAGAGAAGAAAGCCAGATGGGGTGGGGGCTTCATGGGCTACCAACCTTCTGGTTCATCAAGTCAATAACTGGGTATCTTGGTGTGGCTTTGAACTTAAAACTTCACCAATATAAATGCTACACACTTATCAGTGGTCTGAAAATGAACTTTTTTTGACACTTACATATGAATTCTGAATGCTACAGTTTAAATTTGAATTCTTTGTTTTTGCCCCTCTGATTGAAGATGGTAAGCACTGATGTACAAAACTAAAATAGAAAAAAAAATTATTCAAAATTCACAAAACTACAAAAGCATCAAAGAAACTGCATTTATCAAACTTTCAAATGATGTCTTTTGTTAAGTGTGTGGCATTTTTACTTCTGAGGTTATTAGAACTTAAAGCTGCACCCAGACTTTTGGGAGACACTGTATTTACTGAACATATAAATAGACCCTCTTATAGAGACTTAAAACCTTCCCATGGTTCTAGCTCACTCTGAGTAAAGGCCAAAGTCCTCACAGTAGCCAAAAAAGCTCCCCAAATCTGAGCTCCAGATGGTTCAGCTCCACTCACATCCTTTTGGTTGAATGAACAGTTCAAGTTCTTGTTTTGGCCCCAGGACTGCACTGGCCGTTCCTTCTGCCTGGGCCACTCTCACCCTCCAGATATTCACGTCATTTCCTCCTTCACCTCTTTCAAATCTTTCTCCATGCAGCCTGTCCTGACTACTGCTTAAAATTGTAATACTCCTACCCCCTATTCCCAATCTCCCTCCGTTCTACTTTTAAATTTTACCCCAAAGCAGACTCATTTTTTGTTGTCAGTGTCCATCTTCCTCCAGTAGGACACTGGCACCACTTGGGCAGAGGTCTTTGTCTTTCTATTGAGCGTTACATCTCAGCACTCAGTACAGTGGCTGGCAGTGAGGACTTGTGATGAATGGTGGGGGGCGGGGGGAGGCAGGGCAGACGGGGCACACAGGGCGCAAGGAAAATCCTCCTTTAGGTAGGATGGCCAGGGTCAGCTACTTTGAGGAACTCAAGTTAAACAAGATGGAGTCAGTCAGGAAAAGATCAGGGGAATGGGCTTTTCCATGGCCAGAACAGCAAGTGCAAAGACCCTGAGGCAGGAACAAGACTGGCTGCAGGGAGGAGGGGGTGCGGCAAGAGTTATGAGAGAGGTTAGCCGTGGTCAGACACATAGAGCTTCTGGGAATAATCATAAACTCCCCCATTTTTAAGCCCCTACAAAGTGCCTGTGGATTTCTTAATCACCATGACAATTTTGAAAGTCTTGTCCCCAGTTTCCAAGAGGTTAAGTCACCTGCGGCGTATCAGTCAGGCAGTGGGTGGCAGAGTAACCTCGGAGCCACGCGCTGTCCTGGCAGACCCTTACCTGGTCCAGGATGGTCTTCTCTTGACCGCCCCATGTGATCCAAACCTGCGGGCTGACTGTCACTCCGCTTCCTAGCCCTGGGGCACAGAGATGAGGGAGATGTGTAGTCCCACCCTGAGCAGGGCAGCCCCCACCGATGCCCAGAAAACCCTCTATCTAGTCCCTCAGCACCAGTGGACCCCAACCAAGGTGATCTACCCCCACGGGACACCTGACAGTGTCAGGAGACATCTTTTGGTTGTGACAACTAGGGGGTGGGGTGGAGAGGATTTGACAGGCACCCAGTAGATAGAGACCAGGGATGCTGCTCAACATCCTACGATGCACAGCACAGCCCCCCCGACAATTAATCCAGGCCCAAGTCAGCAGTGGTTAGTGCACAGGTGGAGAAACTCCGGGAGTATCAGGTGTCACTGGAGAGGTAGAGAGCCTGCGATTACCTGGGCAACTCTATCCGAGCTGGGCTCTCTAGGAGGGTGTCCTCACTAAAGCTGCGTCGAATGGGCCCTTGCCGTATCACAGGCCTGGAGGCCACGGCCCCTGTGGCCTGGGACAGTGGACGCTGCCCAGTCACATAGCTGCGAACCAGGGAGGGCAGGCTTGGGAAACGTTCATCCTCCAGCTGAAAGAGAGCTGTGGGCCGGCCTGGCCGGGGACGCAAGGCCACACGGAGCACCTCGAAGTGTAGTGCTGAGCCCTGCCAGCGGCAGGAGATCACTGGGTGGCCCCCCTGGGACCTGGAGGCTCGAACCAAGAAGTCCCCATCTTGCTGCAGGAGGGCCTCAGCCTTCTGGGGGTGGAGGACAGGGGGTAGAGGGTTTAGCCATGAGCCCAGATCAGCAATTCATGGTGATTCCTCACCCCCATCCCCCTACCCAAGAAAAGCCACCCCAGAGACTGGGTGATTTTGCCCCAAACCATTTCCTGTTTTCTCATGGGCACACCTCTGGAGTACATTTCCCAGGCTCCCTTGCAGTTAGTCATCATCTGACACAATCTGGCCAATAGGATGAGGGCAGAAGAGTTGCCGGGAATGTCCCGACCTGGCTCAAAAAACCCTCCTGCGCAATCCTACAGGTTCTGTCCCCTGTCTGTCAGGGGATGTCTCCAAAGCCCTGGTGGAAGGCAGAGCCACAAGACAGAAAGAGCTCGGGTCCTGACTGACTTCTGGAGCTCCACGTTCCCCACTCCTCAACCAGCTTGTACTGTAACATGAACAAGCCCATAAAGATCTGTTGTTTTTAGCCAGGGACATCTTGGGGGTGCTGCTAGCTGACACTGACTAATGGAACTTCCAACCTGAGTAAATGCACGAGGCTTTGTAAACAAACATGGCTTCAAAAAGTGCCCTTCGCTGGATCCTTCCAAACTGATTATGGCCTAGAAATCCTCCTTTATAAAAATGTTCAAGCAGTCCTATGCCAGCCATGGTGGCTGGTGTTGAAACAGGGGCTGGGGGCTGCAACACCAGAGGGAGGCAAAGCGAAGTTGCTGATGGGAGCTGGGAACTGAACAATACATATGGTGGACACATGTAGCCTTTTCTACATGCCAAGCACTGCTGTGTGTATAAAACATAGGAACTCATTTAATCCTTTACCGAGGTTAAGTGGTAGATACCATCATCCTCATTTCACAGATGGGGAGACTGGGGCCCAGATAGGTCAAATACCTTGCCCAAGGTCACACAGAATGGAAGTTGTAGGACTGCGATTTTAACCACTAAGCAATAATGACTCTCACAGTTTGATTGGATGCCCAGGGTCCCAGGACTCCTGAGGGTGACAAGTGAGCTGGAGATGAGGGTGAGGAGATTTGGGTTAAGAGGGAGTGCTCAACACCAACAGAGCATTCACTGTGTGCCAGGGCCTGTTCTAGACCCTGGAGACACAGTGATGAATGAGCCCAAGGCTCTGCCCCATGCTGTCTGGTGGGCAAGACACACAACAAACGCACACGAATGAAGAAGATAGATAATGTCTAAGAGTAATCACTGAAGGTGATAAAAGAGGGAGATGCGGCCCTGGTGGCCACAGGTGCCTGGGACCCAGATGGAGAGAGAAGCAAAGCGAAGGAGTAGGGTTGGGGAGCATGCCATGATACCAACCAAGCTTCAAGACAGTCCCCAGACCCTCAGTCACCCCTTCCAATAGACCTTGACCATAAGTCCCTCAACCAGGACCCCAGCAGTCCTCAGAAGTCCCCAGGAGGTCAAGGGCGGGAGAGGCTCCCTATCAGATGGTGCTGAGGCCCTGCAGGAAGCAGAGATACCTGACGGGACAGGGGGCCGTGGTACCAGGGCTGGCTGGCAAAGTCCTCTCCATCCTGTTGCACCTGCATGGAGCTCTTGGGGGCAGAAGGTGCAGGGGCTGAACTCTGTACTTTCAACAGTCCTCAGTCTTCCACATCTGTAAAATGGGAATAATTATTCCTGCATCCTAAGCTTCCTAAGTGGCTGGGTCAGCTCTTCCTTCCATGTTCCTCTTAGTTTTAGAGACAGCAGCCTGCATCCTATCAACCTTAAAATGCAACTCTCTCTCTCTCAACATATTCTAACACGAAAACATATTCTAAACATATAACATATAAACATATTCTAAATTAAACAAGTTACTTACAGTCAAAAATATATGTACACTAGATTTTGTTTATATATATATGCTAGATTCATATATATACCTCATATAAAATTGGGCTATGATTAACTTTAATTTAGAATTGGCTGTGATCTCATGGAAACACTCGTGCCTTCACTGGGATGCTCGCAAAGGGAGAAGACCTATGCATTGCTTTCAAATGGAATGCAATTTTTGTGCAGATGACATGATGCTACTTTTTAGAGAAATTTCATTAACTAATTCACTCAAACTAATATTTATGGGGTGCCCACCATGTGCCAGGTGCTACTGGGCACTAGAGGCCCAGCAGTGAACAAAACAGGGGCATCCCTGCCTTTGAGGAGCTGCTGTTCTAGTGGGGGAGACAGCAATTAAGAAAATAAATAAGCAGATGAAGGAATAGATAGATCAGAAAGAGGTAAGTGGAAAATAAAGCCAGGGATGGGATATGAAGATTCAAGCGGTGGAGGTAAGATTTTCCATAGGGGAAGGTCTCAATCAGTAACAACTGTGAGGAGTTTGAGGGAGTGAGCCAGGTGGGTGAAAGAACATTCCAGGCCAGAGCAAATTTATTTTACTAATCTCTAGCTTCTAAGCAGTGTATGTGCACACTCAAGAATTCTTAAGTTGTAAGGAAATCTAACCTATACATGGCTTTCCAATGTAACACCATTTTTTTTTTTTTTTAGATTTTTTTCATTTACTTGACAGAGAGAGACACAGCGAGAGAGGAAACACAAGCAGGGGGAGTGGGAGAGGGAGAAGCAGGCTCCCCGCCGAGCAGGGAGCCTGATGTGGGCCTCGATCCCAGGACCCTGGGATCATGACCTGAGCCGAAGGCAGATGCTTAACGACTGCGCCACCCAGGCGCCAACACCATTTTTTAAAAAATTTTATTTGTTATTAATATATTTTTAAGTAATCTCTGTGCCCAACGTGGAGCTCGAACTCAGGACCCTGAGATCAAGAGTCACATGCTCTACCAACTGAGCCAGCCAGGTGTCCCTTCAATGCAATACCATTTTTAAGGACATTAAAAAGTCACATTTTGTAGAAATGTCAATTTGGCATTTGCAGATTTTTAAATTTTGGAGCCGATACACTTTGTTATTATTATGGCCAAATTTAGGTCTCTGACATTTTGGGACTCCCCTGACACTGTGCAGACCTCAGGCCCTGTGTGTCTCAAGTGTCTGGTGGAGAAAACCTGCCCTGGATGGGAGGGAAGCAGGAGGTCTGCTTCTCACTTCTCTACCCCTAAGGTGTTCTGGGCCTGGCCGGGTGTGCAGGGAAATAGCACCAGGATTCTCTCACCCTGAGTCAGCAGGGCCTTGAGGGCCAGAAACAGGCAAGAAGTTCCCAGGCCCGCCCCAGGTAGCTGTAGGGGTGGGGAGCTGGGCAGGGACCTGGCTCCAGGTGCTACATACCTGAACACCAGGTGTGTCTCCTGTGGATGCCTGTGTACTTCCTGTTTGTCATCTGGGCCAGGCCAGCCTCTGTCTTGAGTCTCCCAGCGTCAGCTTCCCCTCGTCCCTCTTTAGTGGGCACGCTGGTGGGTCACTGACAAGGCTCTGGTTAGTTTGGTGGAGGGGAGTTTGGATGAGGGGGGAGCTCAGAGTGGGCACAGGTTAGACAGAGGCCAACTAAATCATCCTCCTGCCCTTCATCCTTTGGAATAATTTCTGGATATTTGGGCAGGGGAGAGAGGAAGGGAGCAGAATCAGGAAGAGGGTGGGGGTAGGGGCAAACATGGAGAAAAGAAGGGGGTTATTCATGCCCTGCAGACCACACCTATGTGCACACATGTGCAGGGGGGCAGCCGCCTACACATGGACACATGGACACAGTTAGACACGAGTACTGAAACTTGACATTGAGCAAACACTGATTGGTTGAGCACTTACTATGTTCCAGGACCTGTTCCAGACCCTGGAAACATGGTGATGAATGAGATCAAGGCTCTGCCCTTTGCTGTCTCGTGGGCAAGACACGAAATAAACAGCACACAAGGAATGAAGACGATAATGTCTACGAGTAATCACTGAAGATGATAAAACAGGAATGTGTGATAAAAAAGACTGGAGGAGGCAGCTACTGTAAATAACATATAGTCAGGAAGGTCTCTCCCACCAGGTGACATTGGAGCTGAGCCCTCAATAAAGGGAAGGAGACAGTTAGGCAAAGGTCCGGAGAAAGAGCAGTTCCAGATGCAGGGGTGAGAGGGTGGACAGCAAGTGCAAAGGCCTGGGGGTTAATAGAGCTTACTCTCTACCTTTTACAGCATCAAGGAAGTCATTGTAGCCGAAATGCACTGAGCAAGGAGCTAAGTGGAGAGCAGCGAGGTCGGCAGAGGTGAGACCATTCTGGTGGACCCCAAATTCTCATCTTAGCGGGATGCAATGGCGGTTACGGAAGGGTTTTAAATGAGGGAGGGGAACGATCTGGTTTGTGGTTTAAAAAAATAAAAAGAAAAAAGAAAAAGATTGCTCAGGCAAAGTGGAAGCAGGGAGGCTTTTCATGTTGCACAGGAAGCACGCTTAGAGGTGCACTCCCAGGTACGGCCAGGTACACGGACGCGCGTGACGCACAGCGACCCAACCAGGCACTCGGCGACCCTTCTACGAACGCTGCTGCTCCTGGCCCGACACCCATATTCTCCCTGCAAGCCGGTGGCCCCATCTGGAAAAGAGAGGACTCCCCCCCCAATAACCCCCGATCCTGGATGTGCCTGGGTCCCCTCACTCACCTGGGCCGGGACCCGCGGAGCTGGTGAGAAGCTGGGGCCGGGCCGAAGCCGGAGGCTCTGCGGCTCCCGGCCCCTCCCTCCCCGCCCCAGCGGACCCCACCTTCTCCAGCCGCGCCCGGTGAGTTACCGAGCCAGATCACCGGGCCCCGCCCCCGAGGACTCCGCCTCGGAAGGTGGCCTCCAAGGCTCTCACCCGCCCTCTCGTCCCGGCTCCACCCTCTTAGAGCCGTTCTCGGCGCTAACCACGCCCCCTTTGGAGAACCTCCCCCTCCCATAAACCACGCCCCCTTGGGAAACTCCGTCTGTCCCTTCCAGGGGGCCCCCCGGCCTAGAACGTCGCCCCGCCCCCATCGGATGGCAACGCCCACACGCTCCTCGCCCCTCTTAGTCCCGCCCGTTAGAGCTCGGCTCCTCGGTTCCCCGCTGGCTGGTCCTACGTACCCCTAACCCCTTGGGATCGTGGGGAGGGTGTTTCTCTCCTCTACCCCCCAGGGTTCCTCGCGGGGACAGGGCGGCCCCTTACGGGCTCTCTTGCAGCGCGGGTGTGGCGGCTGCTGGGACGTAGAGGTGCGCTTCCTCCAGACCGTCCCGTTGGGTTTCCGCGAAGGGAACTCCAGTGGGTGTCGGGTTTTGTGGAGACAGATGCGGGAAAACACGACAGCCTCTCCCCTGTAACAGCACGAGGGAGATGAGCTAGACTCTGGGGGATTATGGCCGGGGGAGACATTCAGGTGGTTTCCTTGGTGGGAGGTGGGAGGTGGGCTTCCATCGTGATGCTTGGAGCAAGCATGGAAAGGTTGGGGGAATGGATCTGGAACAAGAGGGAGGACGGTCTGGCCACGTTTATTGAGGGCTCACAATAATAACAACAGTATTGAAAGCAGTAGCAGCCAACTAACACTTATTGAGCACTTACTGTGTGCCAGGACTGTCCCGCTTCCTTGACCTGCTTCAACGCATTTAATTTTTACATCGACCCCTCAGTGAAGTAGGTACTATTTCCATCACCCCCATTTTCCAGATGCAGAAACGGAGGCACCGGGCAGCTAAGCCATTTGCCCAAATTGACCCGGCTTGTGAGTGGCGGAGGTGGGATTCATACCTGGAGCCCTGGAGCGCCATTCTGCCTTCCTCGCTTTCATCTGTGCAGCCCCACAATCTCTGATCCCTACCAGAATTCTAAACGGTGAAGGTTGCTGTCACCCATTTTACAGATGAGGAAATGAGCGCCCGGGATGGTTGGGGATGAAAAGTTTCGGTGCCTGTGGGATCGCAAAGCTGGTGATTTCCAGGCTCGGCTTTCCCCCCGCGAATGTGGAAGAGACTCGAGGCTCAGGAAATGCTAAGGCGAGTGTCTTTTCCTCGACCTCCTCCCACCTAGTTTTGGTGCGGTCGGGGGGTGGGGGGCGGGGGTGGTGTCTGTCCACTGAAGGAGTCTAGCGCCCCCTAGTGATTAAAGGATTAAAAAAGAAAAATCCAAGGGGCGTGCCTCGTGAGATGGACGGGAGTCTATTCAGCCTAGTGGGGTGGAGGTGGGGAGAGAGACCTTGCAGACAAAATGATTTCAGGTAATGATAAGGTCTACGAAGACAGTAAATGTTTGCTAAACGAATGGATTAATGAACGACACCGTCGAAGTCTATAAAGAAAGGGATGGTGGTGGCCAGGGCCATGGCAATAAATGAATGAATTTGGGGATGTTAGAGGCAGAGACAATAAAAGCTTCCAACCATTTATTTATTCATTCAACAAATACTTACGGAGCATGTATTTATGCCAGGTGCTGGGAACATATGAGACAGAGATTTCTAAATAGACAATAAAGAAATAAATGTAATGAAATGCCAGGTTTGTTGGATGGTGATCAGGGCTTAATGTAGGGAAGTGGAAAAGAAAGTCTGTGATTTGAAATGGAGAGGTTTGGGAAGATTTCATGAGCAGGTCACATTGAGCAAAGAACTGTTGGAGGTGAGGGA